ATTGATTGTCGCCGTAATTGACAGCCGATTATGGCTTTGGTTGAGGCGATCACTTGTCCACCGGTTTTCTCGTAATAACAGAATTCAAATCATAAATACTATTCCATTGGAATTCAATCATTGAATTTAAACTTATTATCTAGTGTTGCCTCTCGAGCCGGAGATGAGCCGTTATTGCATTATAATTGATACTCATCTATACTTTCAAAAACGATGATTCATATATAAAGTAACATTGATATAGGATCGGGGTACTATTTATATATTATAATTAAATACTAAAGGGTAGACTATAATTACAAATAGCGTAACATTTATCATGAGTAATGTATGATAGATTACCAAGTTTATAAAATAATCACGTCTACCTATTTGAGACTTTGGCAACCGCTGCTTATTATATTTTTAACTGCAATTCATTTATAAAGAATGTGGTTTATATGATTGTTCGCCTTCTCTTCTAAACGTCTTGTTTATTGAAATTGTCTTAATTTTGTATAAATTAATGTTGTTATTATTTTTGTTGTTCAATTAAAATACAATAATTTGTGTCACTATTAACAAAAATAGTAAATTGTTATTTATATTCACTTATTTGGAAAATCAATTTTATTCAGTATTCTCCCAATTTATGAAAAACATTTTAAAAATTATTTCAATAAAATCTAGCGTTTCGTATGTATTGTATGACAAGTAATGCATTTCACGCAGAAATGGCTAATTATCCCAACATTACTACCGATGAGTAGGGTTGCCAACTCTGAACGACTGCCGCCTTGAAAAATACAAAAATTTTCTAAATTCACCTTGACCAAACCTTGACCTCTATTATTATTGCATTATTGATCATAAATATTTTTGAAATATGAGCAAAATGTAAATTTAAGTTTTAATTTAAGTTAGTTTTATTATACTACAGTGTATTTTCCATATATGATATGGGCTTTTTGAAGACAAAAATCTTTCGTATGAAAGGTTTTTATTAAAGGATTTGTTTTGCTATTATACAAATACGCAGAAAATATTATTCTGGGTTTTAAATCGCGTGTTCATTACAATAAATACTTAAAATAGACATACGGTAATTACATTTGCTCTCACCTTGACCTGTTTATGTCAAGGTGAGACCCTCGCCTTTCACCTTGACCAGAACTCTCTCACCTTGCAAATCATATTATTCTGGGCTTTAAATAATGTGTTCATTACAATAAATACCTAAAATAGACATACGGTAATTTCATTTGCTCTAACCTTGACCTGTCTATGTCAAGGTGAGACCCTCGCCTTTCACCTTGACCAGAACTCTCTCACCTTGCAAATCAAGGCAAACCTTGACCAGTTGGCAACCCTAGTCGTTGGTCACCGACGAACAGCCCTTAGCCACGGATCAGACCGGAGATAATGACATGAATGGTTACGAAACAATCGGCGGCGAAGTGCTAGTGAAGAGCAACGACATCGTCAACGGTATTATCGACGCGTTGCGAATCCGTTGCGAGCGCTCTGGCGACGGGTGTTAGGCGGTCGTACCGGTTGGCAAGTTGGCCGCCCATCGGCGCCAATGCTCGTACAGAATGTGCGAAATATGCGGCGCTTTGGGCGCCAACACTGACGGACACGACTGCGTCCAAGAGCTGAAGAGAGAGAGCGCAATGAGTGGCGCGAAAAGTGCGGTTCAATTGAAAGCAATTACAAGCAAATGAAGGGGTCGGCCATCAAGTTGTCCAAGAAGTGCAAGACATTGGCCGCACAACTAGCGGACAGTCAACAGATCCAGGCGTTCAACGAGATTCAGCTCGAGTGCCAGAAACGCATCAATTTGTTTGGCGCTGGCGGTCAGGCGCCCGATCCGAGCCAATCAACTGCCGATGATTATAATGGTTTAGTGGATGATAATAGCGGTGATGAGTGGACACCTGGCCTAACGGTGCCGATCGCCAGTTGTGTGATGTATGGCACGGCTGTGGCCACCAGTGGTAGCGTTGAGTTTGGCGCCGATTGTATTACGCTATTAGACATTATACCCAACAATAATCTACCCTGGATCAAATACTACATCGCGCTGCCATACGTTGAAATACAACGTCTATACCTGTCCGCCGATCCGGCGCTACCATTGGTGTGCATTAAACCAGTGGACAATTCTGGGGTAAAAATCAAAGAGCATTTTAATATAATCGCTAGCGATTCAGGTTTGTCTAATTGTATTTCTGTTTTAAACAATCATGTTTATTATTGAGCATAAAATGTATCTAGTTTACTCAAGAATAATGTTTGTGTGTTTTCAGAGACGACTGAACAGAATATTTTGCTGGTATTGAAGGCCAGAATCGACGACACGTTTGCCAACCGGTTATATAAGTGGTGTAAACGCTTGAAAGTCTCGTGTGTTTGCAACAAAATTGTGTCCATCGATAGGATAGGCGATTAGCACAGGGAGGGGGAGGGGAAGGGAAGGGCTAGCAATTGGTTCATTGATTATCCATCGCATATGACTTATAAAATTTAATATAAATCTAATATTTATTAATTTATTAATAAAACTTTTTGTTAAAATAATTTATAGTTTTAATTGTATATTGTATAACAATGATATAATTACAATAAAGTAATATGAAACAACTTGTAAACCTTAATGAAATATTTTTTGGATATTAAAAATTATTAACATGTTAAACATTGAACGATGCAAAAACTTTCCATAATGATATAATAATAGCATTGCTATTACTGACAGTATATTAATTATTTTAATTTAAACCATGTATAATTTTATTAGTATTGTAAGTTATATTATTTTACTTGAGCAAAACTCACCACAGTGTTTTAACATTTATTTTTACACCAATGACTAAACTTCATAACAACTAAACCTTTATTTAAATCACTTTGAGATCACTAATCCGTATATACGCCCACATATTGTGCTAAATCATGCATTTGTCTCACACTTCAAAACCAATCTCTCAATTACTGTGTGAACACAACCTATACTTCAATTGTGCCAACATTACTGTAGGACTACCGGAGCGGCTCGACCTCAAGCACACCCACCACTGATCGGCAGCCATACCAAGAGATGTGTAAATGTTTTAGACGATGTTTTTGCTGCTGTGGCGGCGGTCAAGACTCCGACGACGAGGCCGAGTGTCAGCCCCTGGAGCCGGCAAATGGCAATCATTTAAATGGTGGTAATTATGGTGATGGCAATGGTAACGGTGGCGGTGATCAGTGGGCACCGAACTTATCGGTATTGTTGGGTCGTTGTGTGATATTTGGCACACGTATGGCCACCGGTGGTCGGGTCGAGTTCGACGAGCATTGCATTACTTTAAGCAACATATCCGACACATCACCAGATTCTCTCACCAATACATTTGGTTTGCGATACGAGATGATACAGGAGCTGGTGGTGACCGCCGACTCGGCGATGCCAATGGTCCGCATCAGACCCACAGACGCCTGTGCGGCCAGAATCCGACAGCATTTGGCTAGAGCAAATGGTAAAGTAATTTTATTTCAAACAATACAAACAATAACAATATTATTTATTTTAAATATTAGTTCAATATTATATTAAAGTAGTTTTAATGTAATGTTATTAATATCTAATGTTGTACCATGTTACGCGTAAAGTATGGCATTGTATTAATTGAGTTAATAAGTGTTTGTTTTGTATGTTTTTTAGTGATGAACGGCCAGAATATTCTGTTGATGTTAACGTCCGACCGCAGAGTCGACGAGACGTTTGCCAACCGCTTAGATAACTGGTGGAGACGTTTGCGGGCAAATCGTGTCCATTAATAGCACTGCTGGTCAGCACTGGTGGTCAGCATCTGATGGGAAGCAAAGGAAACCTGCATTTATAAGTTGATTAGCCATTGAATAAGTGCTTAATATAAAGTTTATTATAAATATTATTATTTAAAAGTTATCTAAATTATTGACAATTATTTAATTTATTTGCAGTTTCTTAGACATTATTTAATTATTGACAATAACTATTTGTTTGATGTTAAGTTAATTTATATAATTTTATAATTACAACAAAACAAATTGATATTAATATCTAAAAATCCAGATGTAATAAACATTATAAACATTAAACGATAATTTTTAATGATAACAGTATTGCCATAAATGTTATAATAATAACTATTGGAGAAATAAATAAATTGTAAATTGAGATTTAAATTAAAATTAATTTAGTTATCTATTGTGTACAATTCAAGTTATTATTTGAAACTGCATTTATTTATTAATAAAATGGTGCAAATATTTTGTCTGTAACTTTATGTGGTTCCGAATGTAAACCTCACCCAAAGAGATCAACCCAAACCTAAAATACACAGTTTTATGTACTATTCCTGAATATAAAGTGCAAAATACACCATATGTTTATACGTTTCCATGAATTTTATTAGATTTTAATATAGTTTTTCAGTATTTTATTAGATTTTAATATAGTTTTTCAGTATTTTATTAGAAAATTTTATAAATTAACTTAACATCAAACAAAAAGTTATTGTCAATAATTAAATAACATTTAAATAAATAACTGCAAATAAATTAGATAATTGTGTACAAATTTAAATAACTCTTAAATAATCATATTTTGTAAATTATGTATATATAATAAATTTATATTAAAATTTATATTAAATTCTTATTCAAACGACTAATTAACTCATAAAATGGCAAATCTTTTCTCTTCACTCCCGGGGCTGACCACCAATGGATACCATCAATGGATACCATTAATGGACACGATTTGCCCGCAAACGTCTCCACCAGTTATATAACCGGTTGACAAATATCTGGTCGATTCGGTGGTCGGACAGTAATATTAGCTGAATATTCTGTCCACTCGTCACTAAATAAACATAGCATACAAACCAAGCAATTATTAAGGCAATAAAAACTTTGTCGATAAGTTCTCAATAATATTTACAATAAAATTATTTAAAAATCATATTAATTTTACTATTATATTACAAACCGTTTAACCCTAACTGCTCTCTAATTCTAACCACACTGTCGTCTACGGGTCTGATGAGGACCAGTGGCGTCGCCGGGTCGGCGGTCACCACCAGCTCCTGTATCCTCTCGTATTGCCACCTATGCGCTATTAGATAACGATTTGGTGTATCGGATATCATGTCGCTTATCGTAATGCTATCATGATCAAACACAATCCGACCACCAATGGCTAACAGGCTGCCAAATATTAGGCACAGATCCAACTCAACCGATAGGTACGGTGCCCACTGATAAACGACCACAATCACTATTATTATTATTATCATATAAATGTTCATCATATTACTAGTACCATCATATGATTGCCATTCGCCTGAGGTATAGCGATGAGGGGCTGGCACTCGACCTCATGGTCGTTGTCTTGACCGCCGCCAGAGCAACAAAAACATCGTCTAAAACATTTACACATCTCTTGTTATGGCTGCCGATCAGTGGTGGGAGTGTTTGAGGTCGAGCCGCGCCGGTAGTCCTACAGTAATGTTGGCTCAATTAAGGTATAGGTTGTGTTTACACAGTAATTGAGAGATTGGTTTTGAAGTGTGAGACAAATGCATGATTTAGCACAATATGTGGGCGTATATACGGATTAGTGACCTCAACGTGATTTAACCCTTCGCGCGTTGGGTGGCCTATTTTTAGGCCAATCCAACTTTAAAAATCAGTTAAAAATCAACCAAGAAGCCTATGATTAAAAAACTTCAGGAATGCCTCAACAATATTGAAACTTAAATA